CAGTTTCCTCTGGTAGTCTCGTATTCCGGCAGCTTTGAGTGGAGCGGAATTTCCTTTGTTACTTCCTGCCATGTAGCGGTATGGCGTGGTGATAGCGGTAGGTGTGAGCGAGAAGCGCTTGGCGATAGTGTCGGCGTATTTCTCGGCGCTTAAGTAGATAGCATTTTCTTCTTCGCGGATGTTGAGCCCGAGGTACTGGGTGACGGTAGAAGAAACCGTGAGCGTGAGGTCCTTCTGCAGCTCCCCTTCGAACCAGGTGGTGATGTCGTCGGTGGAGCCGATGTAGAGTAGGTCGCCGACGTAGATGATCAGTAGGATGTAATCGGCGTCTTTAGTGAATCGATACATTCCTTGGTCGTGCGGCAGTTGGCGGAATCCGATGCGAGTGAGTCGGGTGTGTAGGTGCTGTTGCCACAGCCGCGGGGCTTGTTTGATTCCGTAGAACGATTTCAGTAGCTGGCAGACCTGATTGGGGTTTCCGTGGGTACCGTGTGGGAGTTCGACGAAGATTTCGGTGTCGACGGGTGCGTAGAGAAATGCGTTGGCGACATCAATTTGTCGCGGTTTTTTCTTCTTCATGGCGGCAACGACGAGAAGAATTCGAAGAGAGGTATGTCGACTAAGTGGGGCGAATGTCTCGGTGAAGTCTCGTCCTTGTTCTTGGTCGAATCCACGCACGACCCAGCGTGCTTTGAACTTCGCGATTGTGCCGTCTGCTTTCGTTTTGATGCGGAAGACCCATTTCCCGGTGAGAATGGTCTTGTTCCTTGCCACGCTTTGAAGTGTTGCGTTCCTCCAGTGCCTTTAACTCTCTGTCCATGGCTTCGCGCCATTTCTCCCTGTGTTCCCCCCCCAGAGCCTACTGAACCGTCGCAGGCTCCTTAGGAAGTGCGTTGCCGTGGACTGCGGTGACGAGGCCGAGGATTTGCAGTCCAGTCTGTGAGTATCGGGGGAGTGTTGGATCCTCGGGATAAGCTGCTTCGTCTCCCGCTTCTGGATCGGGTATGAAATTTGGCCCTATCCGTTCTGCTTCGTTTGTGTTGACTGTCGCAGGTGTTACGTAACCGTTGTCGGCGAAGTGATAGAAGACTTCGGCGTTGACACTGTCGCGAGGATTGTCTTCGTCCATGGGCACGTCGACGGAGCAGTACGGGAGAGGTCCGGTTTCTTCCGATGCGTTGTCGACGTTCTGTTCATCCCAGTCTGCTTCGTCCGCTGCTGAGGCGAAGGCTCGGTCACCACGAAAACCACCTGTGGGATCTTGATTCTCGTGCAAGTTGGCGAGGTACGTCTGAAGTGTGAGTCGTTCGTAGAAGATCACGTCACGTGCAGCTACTGTTTCCTTGGAGTGGACGTCGAAGATTTTCCACGCGTTGTAATTCTTTTCGATGCCGAGGTGTAGTCCCCACTGTGCCCGTTGTGAAAATCTTCCCGCTCGTGCTTCTGGGGGTCGGTACTGTACCATGCACCCGAAAACTCGTAACATTTTCGTGCTGCCCTGTTTCCCTGTCCACAGCAGATGCGGAGATGCGTTGTTCGGAAGTGAGGACGACGACATCAAGTTGTGCAGCATGACACCATGGTCCATTGCTGCACGCCACTGGTGGTTGGGTAGCCGCATGCCACGTAGCAGTTTGCGCATGCTGTTCTGCAGAGTCCTGTTCATTCTTTCTGCGACACCTTGCTGCTGATGGGCGTAGGGAAGGGAGAGGAGCTGCTTGATTCCTTTTTCCGCCAGGTACTGCTTGAATCGCTGAGAGGTGTATTCTCCTCCTCCGTCTGACTGGAAGCTTTTCAGCTGTGCTCCCGACTCTCTCTCTGCTACTGGTAGCCAGGCGGCGAACGCTGCGAGTGCCATGTCGCGGCTGGGTAGGTTTAGATGCCAGACGTATCGAGTGGCGGCGTCGATGAAGGTGATCGTGTAGTTGTAAGTAACTTGTCCTGGTTCTCGATTGAAGAGAATATCGCTGTACACCTTCTCGAGTGGTGCGTATGCAGGTGCGCTCGGGTTGTGGTGAGAAGAAAACGGTCGATGGGGTAAGTCGGCTTCGGGGCAGATGAGGCAAGTTCCTCGTGCCCGTTGAAGTTCTCTGCCGTCGGGTAGTAGTAGCGAATCTTTGTCGAGGACTCCTGCTCGTATTGTGTTATTTAATACTGTGTTGCTTGGATGTCCTGTGCGTGCGTGCCAGATGTCTTCAGGAGCGCGATGTCCGGGTGAGCGTTGATACGCGTCGAAGTTGGAGTAGAAGCTGGCGACGACATTGGCGCTTTTGTGGACTTTTCGTTGAGTCGGGTTCAGTTGCTGTGCGGGTGTTGGTGGTGCTTCGTGGACGATGACTGGTGTCGTTGGTCCTGCTGCTGCCGATGATGTTTCTGCTGCTGTCGATGTTGTCTCTGCTGCTGCCGATGTTGTCTCTGCTGCTGCCGATGTTGTCTCTGCTGCTGTCGATGTTGTCTCTGCTACTGCCGTTTGTTGAATTGTTGCTAACGCTCGTGTTCGTTCTGCTTCAGGGATGGTGTGCGAGTACCAGAAACCTCCCGGGCTGAAGTCGGGATTGAGATCCGAGGGATGTGTCCAATCGGCGAAGTTGACGATGGCGTCGCTATCTGCAGTGCCAAGGTCGGGGACGAAATCGAGGACGAAGACATTGTTCTTCAAAACTGCTCTTCCGATGTAGAGGCCGCCCTTCCCGTGGTACAGTTTAAACTCCTGGGTGGTGCTGTCGGCTTCCAAGTGGATGCCTTTCGCCATCAGCTGGCTGACACTCAGTAAGTTATAACCGAGTCCTTCTGCGATGAGTACCTTTGACATGTGTAGTATGGCGTTTGTCTCTCTTGATTGAAGCTGAACTACTCCTTGTCGTCGTGTGCGCAGGTTCTGGTTGTTGGCGACCGTGATGACTACTTCTCGCTGGAGTCGATGTTCGCGTTGAACGAAGCATCTCGAGGAGCACATATGTTGTCCGCAGCAACTGTCCAAGAACCAGGTGTCTTGCCCGGACGGTTCGCTTTGAGCGATGGCGGCGTACGTCGGATTCGGTTGGAGTGACTCGCGGCGAGGCGTCCTGTTGTCGAGCTCTTCTTCTGGTGAGTAGTGAGGTGGTGACTCGATGATACAGGAATCTGTTATCTTTGCCATACAGTTGACAATGTTTCTTGCTCCTTGTGCAGGTTGTCCTGTTGGAGTCGTTGAGGCTTGAATCTTTGTCGTGGGATTTACTTTCGTTGAAGTGACTTGGGAGCTTGAAGGCCGGAGTTGTTGCTGTGATGTTGTCGATTGCTGACGATGCGGGCAGTGCGTACGAGGATGCCCTGAAGTCTTGCAGATGTGGCAAAACGGAGGTACTGGCTTCAATTGTTGTTGCTGCCGATTGTTGTTGTTGTTGTAGCGTCGCTGGGTGTGAAACGCGAACTCTGGTACTGACGTTTTCTTCTTGTGTCGTTCTTCTTGCAGGTCCATGTCCTGCTGCTCGGCACGTATTTCGGCGCAGAGTGCCGCTTCGGAAATCCTCCCGTGTGCTCGTAATATGGCGCGAGTGGAGCGCCAGTGGGGGCCGAGACCGCCGATGACCACCGTGACAAAGGCGTCTTCTGAAATCGACCCTCCGCATCGAAGAAGCTTATCGCGCAGTTCGCGGCAGCGGCTGATATAAGCCATGCCTTTCTTGCCTGGTTTCATTTCAATTGTTGTCAACTGCGCCATTAACCTGCTTTGATTTACGCTGTCTGTTGCTTGATACAGGTTCTTGAGGTGGTTGTACGTGAGCTCCGCGGAGCTGCCGTAGCCTCGGTAAGTCCAGATGTTCTGCTGCTGGGTCGGGGTGATGTTTCTTAGCAGTATCGTGTACGCCATCATTGATTGATAGGTGTACTGCTGCTTCTCATATTGTGTCCCGTTTGTTGGATATGGCAGGGACCCGTCGAAGAAGCCGAGAATCTGTGCTCCTTCCATCATCAGTTCGAACTCGAACGACCAGGTGAAGAAGTCTTTTCCGTCGAAGGGCTTTGTCGTTTGCAGCTTGAGAACATGCGCGAATTGCGATTGAACTTGTAATGCATCCAATGCCCTTTCTTGTCCCGGTGCAGATTGCGGTTGCGGCATGAAGCTGACGGAGCCACGCTGTGGCTCGTACGGCGCAAAGGTAGGCTGCTGTTGTTGTTGTTGAATTCCGCGTGCGTAGGATGAGCCGTCGAGACTCATAGGAGTTACGTTGTTGTTGTTGCTGTTGTTTGACTGCGCAGGTACTCCTTGCTGGTGCTGCTCGTAGAAGGACATGAAGGAGAAGAATTTCTCCATCATGCTTGGATCGAAGCCTGCGGGCGTTTCCGTAGACCCAGCTGCTGGTCTCGTGGTAGTCCCTTCTTCCGTCTGTAGACCAGAGACAGGAGGTGGAGTAGGGGTAGTGCCTGGAGAACCGTTGGAGGAGCTCCTCTCCTTCCTAGTAGACATGTCTTCCTTGTATTAAGTATTAAGAGAAAAAGTAACTTTGAACTCTATCTGCTCTCATACCATGTTGGGCTGAGATGCCCTAGGATCTTTGTAGAGTTAAAGTCTGAGTAGGATTGTAATAGCGGAAGCGTTTGAATAAAGTCCTTGAACCACCTTGCGCTAGTATGTGAGGGCAAAGTAAGTTGATTAAAACAAGCAAATACAAGGCTTTATATAAGAGTACAAGGAATACGAATAGATATAATTAAACTGTTTTGCTGTTACGATTCGATACAGTGCGACTCGGGCAACTGCTCAATGTCGAGTCAGTTGTGTGTCCTTGCTGTCGCGCTGTATTTTGTCAAGTCAAAGGTCGCTGACTTTTGACCTTCGCGTAACCTCCAGGCGGTTACCCTAACCTCCGAGGGTTGACTCGCGATGCTTCGATTTGGACTGCTTCGCTTGTGTCCTGAGTTTCGACACGACAGAGGCGCTTTAAGACTTATTGTTCCCAACACTAAGTAGGTCAGCGTACACCCTGAAGAACAATACAGTACAGTACATTATCTGCATGCGGCAATATCGCGGTGATGCATCGGTTGCATTCCATCTTTCCCTCAAGGCTCGAGTCAGCATTTCCTTCGCGACTTTACTGAAAAACCCAGCTCTCTCCAGTCACAACGTCTCTTCTCAACTTATTTCGTCCTTCTGAATGCGTTGGTTCTAGGATTAGTTACAGGGCTGGCATGGCGGAGTCATTAACGCGATTCTATCCGGCGATTGCGGTGTTAGAGCCTTCGCGATCGTCTAGCGTTAGGTCGTCTTGCGAGCATTGCGGAGGAAGAACGGCGAGTTTCACGAAAGGCAGTTACCAAATACCGAGTCGACGAACCACTGGCGATCTTCCCGATAGGAGCAGCATCGCACGATCAACCCGAGCAAGAGTTCTTCCGTCTCATCCTCGATATAGTCCATCTCGTCTAAATAGTCTAGAAACAGTTCGAGAGTGCCATCCGTTAAGTTTCTCACGGAGCTCTGCTCGCTTCGAAGGGACAGCCGACACGGGAGCTGATCAACGGTCATCCTTCGCGCAGGATGGCAGTGTGAACAGTGCGAATCCACGATCGCGAAGATCGCGAAGCTCGCGAGGATATTTTCAGCGATGCCAGGCTGGCACGGATGACTCGGCGCGCTTCACGAGCTTCGAGCGCGAGCAGGAGGGCAATGAAGCGGAGGAAAGGCGGCGGACGGCAGCTGGGCGGCAGGCCGGTGGCCGGCCGGGCGTGTCGTTTTCTGCAGCTGGCCGGAACGGCGACAACAGTTTCAACGGCGTGTTCCTGCTGCTTCTGCTGAACCTTCTGGCGTTTCTAGCCGATCACTTTCTACGGGTATGACTTTGCGACGGGTACGACTTTTGGGCCGCCTCGAAACTTGCTGCAGCGTCTTGCTCAAAGACTTCGTTTTTTGCCGTTAAGAAATACAGATGGAATTATTATAGCATTCTTATTGGATCAGTTGCTACGGGTACAGACGAACAGTCTGACTGCCACCCTTCACCACCCTACACCAAAGCTTACTAGTTCGACTCGTTCCTTTCTTTCTCCCTTGGATATCACATATGCAACTCCTTCCATTCTCTGTAGCAGCCAAACAGCAAGTAGCCGAACTTCTCGATTTCCTGATCGACTAAAAATCCTTCCATTTTCCGTAGCAGCTAGACAGCAAGCAACCGAACTTCTCCTTTCCTCTTACACCTATCCGTTAGCATCTATCTTTTCTCCCCTTACCTCTCTCCCCTCGCCTCTGCTCCCACCAGCTCCCAGTGTGGTCGTCTCTCTATCTGCACCACGCCTCTCCGCGCTGGTACCAGTTCGTCACCTCAACATTCTGCCACGCTGGCTGGTGAGTTGCTTGAAAGTTCTTGAGTCGTCATTGACAGTTCTTGAGTTCAAGCGGATGTTCTCTGCCTTTTAAGCATTTATTTTTTAGGCATGCTTATATGCCACGTGGCAAGCATATCCGCCGTGCACCGTTGTTATTCTTACATACCTTTCACTGTATCCTCTTACCAAATCCTCCTTTTTTCCCCCTCCCTCTCCCCTCCCTCCCTTTCTCCAACAGGAGCCATCTCTCAAGCAACCTCTTCTTCCTCTACATATTCGGTACGCTCTCTCTTTTCTTCTTCTCCCTCCATATTGCCCCGTTTCCTTCTCCGCATGCTTGTTTACCTCCCTGCAGCGGACTTTTAATCTCATTGCCTCACCTCCATCCCATTGCCTCACCTCCATCCCATTGCCTCACCTCCATCCCATTGCCTCACCTCCATCCCATTGCCTCACCTCCATCCCATTGCCTCACCTCCATCCCATTGCCTCACCTCCATCCCATTGCCTCACCTCCATCCCATTGCCTCACCTCCATCCGATTGTCCCACCCCTATCCGATCGCCCCACCTCCATCCGATCCCATGCTCTAACCTCGTCTCATGGCTGCCACTCCCCTCTTCCTCCCTCTCACTCAAGGAACAAAAATACGGTCGTATTTTTGAAATGTTACCGTTTTAAATGGTTTCTCATAATAGGCTCCTGTGAGAAATCGTAGAGCAATTTCAAAAAAACGACCCTATTTTTGTTCCTTCTCACTACCTCGTTCACACATTCACTCACTCTTTCTCTCAGGTCGGCTAGTGGAGGAGGAGGAGGGAACCCTGGGCCTGTGGGTGACCTACCTCGTGACAGGCGCAGGTTCCAACCTCGTGTCCTGGCTGCTCCTCCCATCGTACACCGTCTCTGTCGGTGCCTCTGGTGCCGTCTTTGGCCTCTTTGTCGTCAGCGTGCTTACCCGGGTAAGTACTGATTCTCACTGCGATGAATATGGCTTGCGAAATGGTGCAGTGCGGTGCTGGGGTATTCACAACTTGTCCTGGCTGCTCCTCCCATCGTAAACCGCCTCTGTCGGTGCCTCTGGTGCTGACTTCGGCCTCTTCGTTCGTTGTCAGCGTGCTTACCCGGGTACGTACGTATAATTCCATGGTTGCTGCAGCTGCAGTGGAATTTGAGGAGGATCGCGGAGGTGACTGACCATTTTTGAGATGTTTGCACACTTGTGCGTGCTTCCGCCACTGAATGCTCCTCGTGATAACTCTTGCTCTCTTGTTCCTGTGTGTTCATTCCATTGCCTGTTGCAGCTGCAGTGGAACTGGAGGAGGATCGCGGAGGTGACCGACTGTTCTTGAGATGTTTAATCATTGTGGCTGGTTCCTCCCCTTGTTTCTTCCGCTAACTGTTGCAGCTGCAGTGGAACTGGAGGAGGATCGTGGAGGTGGTCATTCTGGGGCAGTTCGTGGTAGAGAAGGTGAGAGGAGGGGAGGGGAGGAGGGGGGAGAGAGGAGGGGGAAGGGGGGGCGGGATAGAGGACCGTTCGGGAGGAAAGAAAACAAACTCGAGGAGGGTCGTTGAGGTGGTTATCGTGAAACAAACTCGAGGAGGGTCGCTGAGGTGGTTATCGTGAAACAAACTCGAGGAGGGTCGTTGAGGTGGTTATCGTGAAACAAACCCGAAGAGGGTCGTTGAAATATACCATCCTCTTCCACCGATCCCTCCCTCCTCTCTAACTCTCCCTCTTATCCCCACGCAGGTCCTGTCAGAGGCGCGGAACTCGGCAATCATGGGGGTGGGCATGGCGGCAGGGTCGGGAGTGAACCACATCGCCCACCTGGCAGGGGCGCTGGTGGGAGTGCTGCTCATCTGGATGGTGTCCCGCCTGCCTGATGCCAGCAGCAGGGATAGCGGGGAGGGGAGTGGCAAGAACCCTCGTGTGACGTAGCATGTTGCTCACCTGCTGCACCTCTGCTCTGTTGCTGCTCTTGCTAGGAGTGCTACTCATTTGGCTAGGGTCACGCCTGCCCGATGGGAGCAGCAGGGATGGTGGGGAAGGGAGTGGCAGGGACAGCAGCAACAGCACAGATGGCGGGAAGGCAGCAGCAGAGTGCAACTCACGGAGCATGCTGCTCGCCTGCTGACCCCCAATCACTCTTTGCATGCTCCTCTGCTGTTCCTTTGCTCTAGTATTGCTCCTGTCTGTCAGTAAATCTGCACAATGGATGCCCGATTGATCCTTAGGGGGGTTACAGGCGCGTTCGTCTGGGGGGTTATGGGCGCACGAACCCGCTACACAAACAAGCCTTTTTATCCCAGTGGTCTAGTGGTTGAGAGCGGTCTCGGGTTCGAATCCCGGTGTATGGGCATGTAGGCCTTCGCCGCTGTACTCAGTCCTGGGCCTCCCAGCTGTTAGACCCTAATGAGCAGGAATGGTTGAATTGAATGAGTTGTGGGTACAAGCACTAACCCTAACATTGAGTTGTACCTTATATGGGCTACCCCATTATAGCTTACATTGAACTAGCACAGATATAGTTTGGCACACCCCCATAGGCAAAGTGTGGGAGAAGGGGTCACAGCCCCACTCAAGAAAAGCAAAGCAAGCTCAAGGTGGATCATAACGTCACCACACACTCCGAGCAAAAGCAAAGGGCCACAAGGCCAGTTCACATACAGAGGTATATCTACAACAACAATACAGTGATCACTACCTAGCAAGAGTAAACACGAAGGTATATATATAATATACCGGTATATATATATATATATATCACAGTACAACCAAAGTCTATAACAAGTGAGGAAACGTAGGCACCACGCCTAGAGCAGTGCAGTGCAGAAGCGCTGATGATCACCAGCCGGAAGGGCCTTGGTGAACACATCAGCCGTGTTCGCTCCGGAAGACGAGTGAGCGACACGAAGCTGACCACGCTGTTGCAACTCTCGAGCAAGGAAGTAACGCAGAGCGATGTGCTTCGTTCTGTGCTCAATTCTGTGCTCCTAACACAAGGCAACGTCAGCCTTGTTGTCGACGTACAGCACTGGAGGAGAACGAGGCCTCTCTCCCAAGTCAGTCAGCAGGTAGGTGAGCCAGCGTAACTCCTGTGCAGCCATGGCTGTCACGTAGATCTCAGCCTCACAACTGGAGCTGAGAACAGAAGACGAGCGTGTAGACCGCCAAGAAACAGAGCCAGAGCCAAGGCTGAACGTGCAACCCTGTGACGACCGCTGCGTAGCCAGGTCGTCAACCCAAGAAGCGTCTAAGTGCCCAGTGAGGACAACTGGACTCCGCCCTCCAAGCACGAGCCACATGCCCGATGCACTGCACAAGTAGCGCAGTACCCTCTTCGCAGCATCGAAGTGCACCTTTCGGTGCCTGCCAGGAGCCACGTAGCGTGCCAGAAGGCCAAGAGGGTACGCAAGGTCAGGACGAGTGCAGGTCACCAGGTACATGAGGCAGCCCACTAGCTCTGGGTATGGACCACTCGGCTCTACGGACTCGTCCGAAGGTGGAGCTGAGAGCGAGTGACCTGTAGCCAGGGGAGTGGACTGTGGCGAGGACCAAGTGAAGCCGAAGCGCTGAAGGACCTGCTGCACCATGTGTGACTGGGTCAGTGTGATGGTGCGCCGTGCTCTGTCCCGGCTAATCTGCAAGCCAAGGTAGTTGCGCAGCTCACCTAGGTCTGTGCACGTGTGTCTCTTCTGCAGCTCCGACTTCACAAGGGCGAAAGCCTCAGTGTCAGCAGTGGCAAAGATCAAGTCGTCGACGTACACGAGGATGTAGAACGGCTGCAACGAAGTGTCGGTGCGCAGAAACAGCGACGGGTCAGCAGTGGAAGGTGCCAACCCAAGAGCCGCAAGTGTAGTCCTCAGTGTGTCGTGCCACTCGCGAGGCGCCTGACGGAGACCGTAGACCGGCCGGCGGAGGCTCCACTGCGTACCAGGAGGGAACGGCCCAGTGAAGCGAGGTGGGCGGCGCAGCCAGATCTCCTCATGCAGACGCTGTGCAAAAGTCCAGAGAGTGAAGCTCGTAGTCACGTTGAGCGGCAACGTGCAGCAGCACCCGAAGAGTGGTCATCTTCGGGGTTGGGGAGAAGGTATGGAAGAAGTCAACTCCCTGTCGCTGACTGAAGCTTCGTGCAACGTAGCGAGCCTTGAAGACAGGCGGAGAACCCAGCGACCGCTTCACCCTGAAAATTCACATGCCATCGACTACGTTCACCCCAGGAAGGGGAACTGTGTCGACGTAAGTATGTGTGGACATCCAGGATGCCATCTCTGCGTCCATGGCTGTCTGCGACTGAGAAGAGTACTCACCCGCGATCGCCTCAGCGTAAGAGCGCGGGGTCGGGATGTTTGGAGCTTTCGGGTCTCCCTCAGGGGCAAGCAGCATGGCCACAAGATGAGGCGCAGCGGCTGCAAGACACTCAAAGTCCTCCTGCCTGTCCTCAATGTCGAACCAGCAGGCAAAAGTTAGAAATAGGAAAGAGGGCTTTTCACTAGCAGCAGTTGAGATACATATAGGAAACCCTAATTGGGTTACACTCGCAATAGAGTACCCCACTGCAGGTTAGACAAACATTGACATTCCGACACACCCCCATAGTCAAACTGGGGTACAATCAACACATCAAGCAGGCAGTGCAATAGTTCACAAGGATAAGCAAGGCTAGAGGCTATCATAGAGGGCAAGTGAGGAGGAGGAGAAACTGTGGAGGGCGAGAAGATGAGAGGCGACGGCTGAAGCTGAAGACACACGGGCACTCACCAAATGCCTCACCGTCTCCAGGTGCAGCACCCTCAGACTCAGTACATCCAGGCACAGCACCCCCAGACTCCCCACACCCAGGCTCAGCACCTCCAGTCTCCGCACCCCCAGGCTCCGCACCTCCAGGCTCCGCACCCCCAGGCTCAGCACCCCCAGGCAGGAGTGCGCAGCACTGACGCTACCAGGCTAAACCCGGGCTACACGGCGACAGGCGCAACTGGCTCACTATGCTCCCAGGAGTGCTCACACTGTGGCTACCAAGCGCAGAGCCCCGGACTACACGGCCACAGGGGGTCGTGGCTCTCTAGACTACCAGGAGTGCTCACACTGTGGCTACCGGGCGCAGAGCCCCAGACTACACGGCCACAGGGGGTCGTGGCTCTCTGGACTTCAGGCGCTGCGGACGACAATTCGGCTACCTGCGGTCAACCTCCCCAACTGTCCCACACCCCTTTCACACACCCCCTGCTGAACCACTAGCACCGCTCACACGCCACCCCCCTCGTACCACTCCGACGGCTCCAACACATCCACCCCCCTCAGCGGCAGCTGTAGCAGTGGGTTCCGGAGGAGGAGGAGGAGGAGGAGCAGGGGACAGCTCACACACACGGCACCCCCATACTCTCCACCCCCAAACCCTAACACAGGAGTGCGGCCAGAAGCTCAGGGGACGGCGTGCGGCTCTGGGGCAGACGGTACAGGCCGCGCGCGGGCCTGGCGCAGGCCGTACGGGCCGCGCGCGGGCCTGGCACAGCCAGTACGAGCCGCGCGCGGGCCTGGCGTAGGCCGTACGGGCCGCGCGCGGGCCGCTACGGGCGATGGAGGGCGACGCGCGGGTCCCCGGGGACGCTGCGACGGGCGACGGGGGGCGACGCGCGGATCGACAGGGCAGAAAACCGCCGCGCGCCTCGGGGCGCACGGCGGGCAGAAAACCGCCGCGCGCCCCGAGCGCGCGGGGGGATGAAAAATACGCCGTGCACCCGAGCGCGCGGCAAGCAGAACACCTCGCGCGCCCGGGGCGCGCGATAGGCAGGACAGCAGCGGAAGCATTAGGTGGCGGGCCCATCCACAGGATCGACCCAGGAGGGTCGACCTGCTCTGATAGCATGTCGAACCAACAGGCAAAAGTTAGAAACAGGAAAGAGGGCTTTTCACTAGCAGCAGTTGAGATACATATAGGAAACCCTAATTGGGTTGTACTTGCTATAGAGTACCCCACTGCAGGTTAGACAAACATCGACATTCTGACACTCAAGGACGTCCGTGCCAAGAGCACACTCACCCCCGACGGACGAAGGACAGACAGACTCAGACTCAGCAACAAGACTAGCAGCGAAGTCTAGACGACAGGCAGCAGCAAAGTCAACAAGCTCAGAGACTGAGGCAGACGCAGCAGCAGACTCAAACGACGGGTCAGTGACAACAGTGACTAGTAGATGCGTGACAGTAGGGTGAGCAGCATGAACTAGGTCAAACTCAGGGTCCGGAACGTCAGACAGAGAAGACGCAGGAGGAGAAGGCAGGGGAACATGCTGTGGAACAGAGGAAGGACGAAGTGCCATAGTGTGCGTGCTAGGGACAGGAGGACGCTCACGAGGAACACGACGACCAGTGCGACCAGCGCGAACAGGCGAGGCAGGACGAGACGCATGCTCACGACGCTCTGTAAGCGAGTCTGTTTGGTCAGTGTAAGGAGAAGAAGCAGGCAGTGGAGAGCCTGGCTGTAACGGGAGGCCAGTAGAAGACGGGAGGCTAAGAACCTAGCGAAGCACGGAGTCAGGCGGTGGCAGAGACGACGGTGACGGCGGAGCAAAGAACAGTCGCGGCTGTTCAGTACCACCAGCACTAGTACCACCAGCACCTGAACCTCCAGCAGCAACAGATCCTCCAGCTCCAGCGCCTCTAGCTCCAGCACCTCGAGCTCCGGGGTCTCCAACTCCAGCGCCTCCAGCGCCAGCGCCTCCAGCTCCAAAGCCCGCAGCACTACCAGCTCCGGCAGCTCCAGCACCTCCAGGACGAGCACCAGCAGCACCAGCTCCTCCAGCAGCTCCAGACTCTCCCGCCCCAGGACCTCCAGCACCAGCACCCCCAGAACCGGAACCTCCAGCTCCAGGGTCTCCAACTCCAGGGTCGATAGGACCAGCTCTAGAGCCACCAGCTCCAGGGCCTCCAGCAGCAGCACCCCTTGAGCTGGCACCTCCAGCTCCAGGGTCTCCAACTCCAGGGTCGACAACACCAGCTCCAGGTCCCCCAGCTCCAGTGCCTCCAGCAGCAGTACCCCCAGAACCAGCACCTCCAGCCCCAGGGGCTCCAGCTCCAGCGCCTCCAGCTCCAGTGCCTCCAGCTCCGGCCGTGCGACTCCGAAGGCGGGTGCGCGAAGCAAGCCACTCGCGCAGCTGTCGCGCCGAAAGAGTTGACCGCTGCAATGCGGCACAAGGAGGACCTCTAGCAGACTCAGCACCCTAGGCTTAGCACCAACAGACTCAGTACCCCCTGGGCCAGCACCTAGAGGGCCAGCACCTCTAGCTCCAAGGTCTTGAACTCCAACGTGAGGCTCTCCAGCTCCAGTGCCTCCAGCACCACGGACCCCGGTAGCTCGAGTACCTCTGGTACGAGCACCTCCAGGACCCTCACCGCCAGCACCCCCAGCGCCTCCACGACGAGCAGCTCCAGCAGCTCCAACCGCAGCACCTCGAGCAGCAGTACCTCCAGCACCAGCAGCACGACTCCTCAGGCAGGTACGCCTCGCCAGTCAATCTCGTAGCTGGTGTGGTGAGAGAGGCCCCCGTCGTGAAGAGAGACCCCCAGACTCAGCACCCTCCGGCTCAGCACCCCCAGGCTCCGCACTCGTAGGCTCAGCACCCCCAGGCTCCGCACCCCCCAGCACCTCACGCACAGGCTCAGCACCCCCAGACGCAGCTGTTACAATACAGTCTTAACTTAGGAACCGGGTTTAGGGAGGGCCTAGGCTTAGTAGCCTAGGCCAAGCAAGTGTCGAGGTCAAGGCCAAGGGAGTGTCGAGAGAAATTGACCAAACAAGTTAGCTTCACTAAAGCAAAGCATACAAGATATAGTCGAGAAACACAAACAAGGGGTGCACCACCAACAGCAAAGAATAATAACTACAGTAACTACAGCAAGCAGGATAAATCTTAAATATAACTTTGACACACCCCCTTAGCCTGCTTGCAGTAGGAACTAGAGTAGTCAACACCCCCTGAAGGGGTATAGCTGGCGCAGTGGGAGATGGCAGAGGGGTACGTGAGGGGAGGCGGCGAGAGGGAGAGAGGAGAGTAGAGGAAATGAGAACACAGGAGGAGGTGAGTGAGGGATGAGGGGAGGAGGTGGGGGGGTGGCCGTGGCGTCCCCTCTTACTAACCCCCTTTTACGAAAGGGGGGTTGAGTGGGGGATGAGGAGAGGAGGTGGGGGGTGGCCGCAGCGTCCCCTCTTACTAACCCCCACATCCCCACCCCCAATCAACCACCCTCCTTCAACCTCACCCCCCATTTCAGCCGCCCCCTTGAACCGCACCCCCTCCCTCCCTTCCTTCCTCCACACCCCTGCCCCACCCACAGTTGTCTCTGCCCTGTCCTTCACACGGCAGCCAGCCCTCCCGCCCCCCCGTCCCCGCCACCTACCCCCCACAGTAGCAGCTACGGGAGGGGAGAGGCAAGGCAGTGGGTGGTGCTCTGCTGGCGGGGTTCTCTGCTGGCGGGGTTCTCTGCTGGCGGGGTTCTTTGCTGGCGGGGTTCTCTGCTGGCGGGGTTCTCTGCTGGCGGAGTGCTCTGCTGGCGGGGTTCTCTGCTGGCGGGGTTCTCTGCTGGTGCTGGTTCCTGGTGCTGGTGCTGGCGCTGGTGCTGGTGCTGGTTCCTGGTGCTGGCGGCTGGCGCTGGTGCTGGTTCCTGGTGCTGGCGGCTGGCGCTGGTGCTGGTTCCTGGTGCTGGCGGCTGGCGCTGGTGCTGGTTCCTGGTGCTGGCGCTGGTGCTGGTGCTGGTTCTTGGTGCTGGCGGCTGGCGCTGGTGCTGGTTCCTGGTGCTGGCGGCTGGCGCTGGTGCTGGTTCCTGGTGCTGGCAGCTGGTGCTGGTGCTAGTTCCTGGTGCTGGTGTTGGTACTGGTTCTTGGCGCTGGTGCTGGTACCTGGTGTTGGTTCCTGGTGCTGGCGCGGGTCTGCTGGTTCGTTTACTGGTGGGCTTGCGGGTCGTGGACGATCTGTGGCATGCAGTGGTGGAGCTGCAGCTTCTCCCGCCACTCCCGCCACGCCCGCCATGCCCCACTCCTGCCACGCCCACCATTCCCGCCACTCCCAACGCCCCCGCCACTTCCGCCACTCCCTTCACAGCAGCTGCGAAGTCGACGGGAGGGCGGGCGGGGAAGAGGTGTGACTGGCGGATACTGGCGCTGGCGGCCGCCACTCCGTTCCCCCTTTCCTCTTCGCCCCCACTGCATCCGTCGCTGTTTCTGCGCCACGGAGCCGCGACGAGGCAGCGTGACGACGGCGGGTCCATTGGCGGGCTCGCTCGCGGGCCCGTTGGCGGGTTCGTCGTCGGGCGTGCTCACACGCGCGCTGGCGGGTCCGTCGATGGGCTTGCTGGCACTCTCGTTGGCGGGTCCGATGGCGGGTCCGTCGGCGGGTTTCCTGGCGGGTCCGTCGGCGGGCTTGTTGGCGCTCTCGTTGGCGGAACTGACGACGGGTCCGTCGGCGGGTTTGCTGGTGGGTCCATCGGCGTGCTTGCTGGCGGGTCCGATCCTGGCGTTCCTGGTGCGTTCCTGGCGTGCGCGGTGGCGTGCGTTGCTGGTAGTGCACGGGCGACGGGCTGAAAACGGGAAAGCGCTCACGAGGCGCACTAAGGGGCGCGCCATTGCGAGCGCTAATGGCGGGCCCATTTGAAAACGGTCCTAATCGGACCTAGCTCTATACCATGTTACAATACAAGTTAACTAGAGTACGGGTTTAACTAAGGGGCCTAGGCTTAGAAGCCTAGGCCAAGCGGGTATCGAGGGAGTTGTGCCAAGAGAGAATCAAGAATGATTGACCAAACAAGTTAGCTTCACTAAAGCAAAGCATACAAGATATAGTCGAGAAACACAAACAAGGGGTGCACCACCAACAGCAAAGAATAATAACTACAGTAACTACAGCAAGCAGGATAAATCTTAGATATAACTTTGACAGCAGCACCCCGAGTACTACCACCCACAGCAGCACCTGAGTCGCTAGTGACCCCTACAGGCTCAGCCAAGGGGAGTGGGTCTACCTGAGACACACCTGAAGGGGTAGGACCCTGAGGGGGGAGGGGGTCTACCTAAGGGGGACCTGGAGCGAGGAAAAGCGGCGGGGGAGGGAGAGGGGCAGTGCGGTAGGGGAAGAGACGGTAGAAAGGAACCGACTCGTCAAAGGTGACATCCTGAGAGGGCAGGACACGGCGCGAGGTGGGGTGGTAAATCTGCCAGCCAGGCGCGTCAGGGACAAAGCCAAGGAAGACACAGGGAATGGTGCGGGAGGAGAGCTTGTCCGCGGACGTGTCGCGGACAAGGGCACGAGCACCCCAAACCCGGAAACGCGACGCATCGCCAACCTCCTCCGTCCAACGCAGTGTGGGCGAGGTCTCCGGCAAGGAGACACGGGGCCAGAGGTTGGGCTGATGTGCGGCGTACCGGACCGCAAACGGCCACAGAAAATGGGGAGCCGCTGCATGGATCTAGGAGGTACGAGCGACCTCCATGACCAAGCCAATGCGGCACTCAGCAACCCCATTTTGTTGCGGTGAGCCCAAAAGCATGAACGACTGCTCGATGCCCTCCCCCTGTCAGAAGGACCACAAGAGGTTGGAGGTGAACTCACCACCTCTGTCAGAGTGCAGACGCAGGATAGGAAGGTCTTGGCAGAGCCTGCGGCAGAGCTGGAGACGAACCGCTTGGATCCAAGGGATCAGGACAGCAGGGACTTCACCCTTGGTGCGCAAGGGGAAGACAGTGGTGTAACGCGAGTCGTTGTCGACAACCAGCAGAATGTACCGCTCACCGCCCTGTCCACGAACGCAGGCTGGGCCCCACACATCCAGGTGGAGGGCCTGCAAAGGAGCCTCTGTCGGGGGGAACGAGGAGTGAGGAGTGGCGCGCTGCCGCCCCTCGACGCAAGGAAGGCAGGGCGGCGCAGGCAAGGTAGGGAGAGGAGGGAGAGACGTGGGAAGACCAGACACAGGGAGGTGACGGTGCATGCCACGTAGACGTGGCAAGGAGGGGTGACCCAGGCGGTGGTGCCAGAGAAGAGTCTGGTGCGACAAGGAGCGACACTCACAAGGGGAGGCTACCTGACCTGACGCAGACACCTGACCAGTAGCATCTACTCGAGGAGGCGCAGTCGCCAGTGTGTAAAGACTCGACCCTGGCCGACGGGTAAACGTGGCCCGGTGGCGGCCGGTCTGGGAGCACGTACAGATCGCCACACGCTGCCGACCAGGGGTGAAGGTGTCAACCCCTGCATCCTGGAGGACAGCAGTGCTCACCAAGTTCGTAGAGAACGAGGGGAGGTGGAGACCTGACAGTGAGCCAGACGGAACCGCCGGGCATGGGAGCACAGTGGTGGACCGTGCAAGAACTGGGCCCCCAGAGGTGTCAGCCAGAGAGACTGCAACAGGTGCAGGGAGTGGTGTGGGTGCAGTACTGTCACGAAAGAAACAACGGGAAGCACCTGAGTCAAGCGTGAAGGTATGCAAGGCCTCAGCAGGCGCAGTACCTGAGAGAGCAGACTCGCTAGCACCTAAGGCAGCAGCCTCATCAGCACCTAGAGCAGTAACCTCTATACCGGGGTCGTGCTGGACACACATGTAACAGTCACCCTTAGCACCACCAGGGAAAGCATACATGACAGTAAGGATGACGTCATAGTCTAAAGCAAAGACATTAACGCCCGACCTAAGCAGCTCAAGCCAGTGGGGGATCTCAGCCTCGTATCCAAGCTCTGCGTGCCAGGCGTCACTCAAATAGGAGAAACAGCAGGAGTGTGCGTGACCAGGTGTTCCACAGGTCTGACCAGCTCGACGACCTGTGCGAATGACGTACGGGCAGCGACCAAGACTCAAAGACGTCCCACGCTGGTAAAGCCACTCACGAAGCTGCTGGGGCGTAAGGGTCGGACGCTGCAGTAGCTGCATCTGGCCACTGCCAGAAACTCCGCACCGAACAGCACCACAGTGACCGCTACTACGGTTGCCACCACTCCCACTGCTGCTGCAAAGTGAAGTCATGGCGGGCAAGCTAGGAGGAGCGTGACATCTAGCGAAGGACGGAGTGAAGGTAGTAGCACGAGTTGCAGTAGCAGCAGTAATAGCAGCAGAGCGGCTCGGCGAGGCTAGGCTGTAGCACCTCCAGTACTCCTAGCAGTACCTCCACCAGCAGCAGCAGGGTGGATCGGGTTGGGCAGGGCGGCTCGTGCTAGGTGGCGCGACTCGGCCTGGGCGGCGCGGGCAGCAGGGCGCGCGCTGTGCAGGGCAGCAGGGCGCGACGCGCGGGCTGCAGCAAGGCGCGACGCGCGGGCTGCAAGAGAGCACGACGCACAAGCTGCAGCAGGGCGCGATGTGCGGTGCAGCAGGGCAAGACGTGCGGTGCAGCAGGGCGCGACGCGCTGGTTGCAGCAGATCGCGATGCGCGGGGCAGACGTAGGGCGCGACGCGCAAGGCAGCAGGGCGCGACGCGCAAGGCAGCAAGGCGCGACATGCGGGCTGCAGCAGGGCGCGACGCGCAGGGCAGCAGGGCGCGAGCTGCAACAGGACGCGCGGGGCAGCGCGACGCGGGGCAGGGCAGGGCGTGCGCGGGGCAGCGCGATGCAAGGCAGGGCAAGGTGTGCGCGGGGCAGCGCGACGCAAGGCAGGGCAGGGCGTACGCGGGGCAGCGTGACCCAAGGCAGGGTAGGGCGTGCGTGGGGCAGCGCGACGCAAGGTAGGGCAGGGCAGGGCGCGTGCTGTTGGCGCAGCGCAAGGTAGGGCGTGGGGTAACGCGGTAACCATAGTCGGTCACTAGGTAATGGTGGGCCCGAAAAAAAAAAAAAAAAAAAAAAAAAAAAAAAAAAAAAACGGTCCTATGGACCTACTGCTTTGAAACCATGCTAGAAACTAATGAGCAGGAATGGTTGCATTGAATGAGTTGTGGGTACAAGTACTAACCCTAACATTGGGTTGTACCCTATATGGGCTACCCCACTATAGCCTACATAGAACTAGCACAGATATAGTTTGACACCAGCGTGGGGGGGTGTTAGTAGATCTGCACTGTGGATGCCCGATTAATCCTTAGGGGGTTTACATGCGCGTTCGTCTGGGGGGTTATGGGCGCACGAACCCGCTAGACAAACAACCCATTTTATCCCAATGATCTAGTGGTTGGGATTCTGACACTGTCTTGCGTATTTTTTCCTTCCTTGTCTTAATTGATACCAGTGCTGTTTGACATAGCGAAGTGCTCTACTGATTCTCAAATGGTTCCTTCCTATCCTCTCACATTGAAGTACATGCCTTTGATTACGACAGTGTAACATTTTGACAATATCGTGCTGGGATAGACAGCTTTAGAGCCTCAACATTCGCGTCCAGGCTAAACAAAGAAAACAAAACATACAAAATGTCCGGACAGGGCTAGTAGGATAACCATCATCCTGGACGATCAACTATCTGACTTTGCGAGCTCAATACTCGCCTGTTCCTTTTGTTTCTCTTTTACATTTAGGGTTTCTCTAGTCACACCAAGTCACCTCTGATTCAGCTACACCGTTTTTTAAGAAATAACCCTACACGGCTTTCAGAGTACCTGTGAATCGGTCCGATGTTGGACAACGTCACTTTCTATCGGGGTACACTACAGCACCCACCGTTTTTTATAGGGAACTTCGACTTTTCCAGAACAATGTCTTTATGTTAGTCAATGGTCGAATGTTTGCTTTCTTAGAAACGTTGGGTGTGTGGGCTTGGTTGGTGGGTAGGTGGGTGGACTCATCTGGTGTGGTGCGCACTGTGTAGTCTTGGCTCGGGCCTAATCCTTGCTTCCACGCTGTGCCGTACGGTATGTATCTATCTCTTTATTGACAATACCGTATTCTCTCGGACATAACACCCTAGGGTATAGCTAAAAATACAGGGAAAAAATGGGGGGGGGTCTCCTCATAGGAAATAAATACATAGTACCCGGGTCTTTACATATGGCATATTTTAGTGTTAGTGTTTTTTAAATTAGACAACGTGGGTGTTTTGATTTCGTTTTAACATCACTGTCTAAGGCGTGAATGTGAGTTTCGGCTGCGAACTTAATCACCCCCACGAAAATGCCATGTGGCACCTCTCCGGCCACTTGCAGCGGAAGATTCACCAGCACGTGGCGAGAGCGAAATAGTGGGAGGGGGGAAGTCTCAGCAGATTGTAAGTGAAAGTACCGCGAAAGTTCACCGAGGGAGAATTTTTTGCGATATTCTTCCGTATTGCAGCTACTCGTTGACGGCTATAATAATGAATCTGTAAGAAAAGGGGGGTGTTATAGAAAATCAGCCTAAAAGGGGGGTATAGTAGAAACGAGGTCTATCATAACACCCACCCCGCACAAGCTACCCGGGGGGTGTACAATTTCGGCGGGTGTTATGTCTGGGAGAATACGGTATAATTGTCAACGGGAGTTGTGTGTTGGCCCCGTCCTCGCTTGGGCGGAGTCGACTTCGTGGTCGGGTGTGAGGGGAGCAGCCGACCTGCTGCAGTGGGCGAGCTGGTTGACGAGGAGGTCGACCTGCACGGGTGCCACTGCATGGGCGCCGACTTCAGGGAGGTCGACCTGGGAAG